AAAAAAGGGTGGCGAGTAGGCTTTTCAGCTTTGCAAAAATGAATACAAAAATTCACCCACGCACCCTTCTGGGATGTCTTTTTCCAGCACTAGAAGTGTTTTCTTCACTAAGTGCTCTTGTAGCTGTGAAAGCTTTTCCACTGTCAGTAAGCCTTTGAGTGGCACAGCATTGACTTACATTTAGTACTAAGCTCACTGTGATTCCCCACCCCCCCTTTTCTAAAACAGGTTCCTGGCTTCTTTCTGGCATGGTAATTTTTCCAGAGCGGTTGAAGGAGACAGCTCCATTAGTCAAACCCCTGAGGGTTTCCACACCAAGGCAGAGAAAGAATTTAGCTGGAAGGTTCCTTAATTCATTTCCAAAGCCTGACAACAAAGATTAGTAATACTCCCAGTATTGCTTTTATACTTTTCCTAAAGAACCAACATGGCAGTATTAAATGGTAGACTTAGTACTGAGGATACAAAGATATATAGGGACATCTGCACATTGTTAGTGTTGCTGGTGTAAAGTATGTACTTCTTTCTCAAATAATGAAAAATTTTAGATATTCCTTAATGCTGCAATCCTGATTTTATCAAGATATGTCTCTACTTCTAGAGTCTCTATTGTGCTCTCCTACAGTTAAGAGCTGGCAAAGAGCCAGCCTCAACCTTGTAATTCTAGCTATTTAGGAAGCTGAGATCTGAAGGATCACTGTTTGTAGCCAGCCTAGACAAAACAGTCCCCATGAGACTCCATCTCCAATTAATCAGCAAAAAGTTGAGCTTTAGGACTGGCTCAGGTGGTAAAGTGCTAGCTGTGAGCAAGCCAAATAACTGCAAGACTCTGAGTTCAAATCTTAGATTTAACACACATACACACAGAATAAATAAATAAGTTAATAAAGCAAACAGCTCTGTCCATTATTAGTCCAAAAAATGTTTCAGCAGAAGCCAGGCACCAGGTGGCTTACACCTGTAATCCTAGCTGCTCAGGGGGCTGAGATCTGACGATTGAGGTTCAAAGCCAGCCTGGGCAGTCAAGTTTGTAAGATTCTTATCTCCAATGAACTGCCAGAAAACCAGAAATGGCATTGTGGCTCAAGTGGTAGTGTGCTAGCCTTGAACTGAAGAGCTGAGGGATAGGGCCTAGGCCCAGAGTTCAAGCCACATGACCAATCAAAAAAAAAAAAAAGCCTCAGCAGAATAATGGGAGTGGAGAGGGAGGCTTGTTACTAAAGAAACAAGAGACAGTGACAACCATGGTTCTTTTTAAAAGGGCTAAGAATGAAGAAGGTTGGTTTATTGATTCTTCACCTGTTATCTTCATTACTCCAGAAACAGGCATGGTAATGAGAGTGCAAAGCATGAGAAAAAGCACAAAGGATACCTCATCTAGACTGTGGGGCCAGCTTGCATACCCACACTCCAATCACATGATTTTTAGTGGATGATGAACTGGCCATCTCACAAGTGATATCACTCTGACCAATGTCTCATATTCAAATTGTTTTGTTTTAGTCTCATTGTCAATTTTCTCTCTTCAGATATGTCAGAAGATTATAACCCCCTTGATGAAATTTAGAACTCAAGAGAGCCTAGTGGAAAAGCCCATCAAATCTGAGCTAAGTAAACCTAGACTCTAAAACCATATGTAACACTTTGCAGCTTTGTAATCTTAAGCAGTTTTTTTTATCTTCCTCTCTACCTCTTTCTTTCTTATGTCAATATTGGGGCTTGAACTCAGGACCTAGACACTCTACCTAGCTTTTTATATTCAAGGCTGGCACCTTTCAGTCACAGTTCCACTTCCAACTTTTTTGTTTTTTTGATTAACTGGAAATAAGAAACTCATGGAACCACACTAAAGCTACCAGCACGACTATGTTTATTGCAGCCTTATTTACCATAGCTAAAATATGGAACCAACCCAGATGCCCCTCAATAGATGAATAGATCAAGAAAATGTGGTATATATACACAATGGAATTCTATACCTCCATCAGAAAGAATGACATTGTCCCATTTGTTAGGAAATGGAAAACTTGGAAAAAATTATATTAAGTGAAGTAAGCCAGGCCCAAAGAAACATAGGTCCCATGGTTTCCCTTATTTGTAATATCTAGTATATGTATGAGTCAAGCGGAAAAGGTCAGTTAAGTTGATGTTAGGGAAATGAACCCTAAGATATGTGTACAAATGTTTTTTTTCTTTCATGCGATTGTTTCTAACACATTTATAAGATTATTTCTTTTTGCTTTGTACGTCCCTCCCCCTCGGTATAACCCCTGCTTTCACTCTATTTGATGTTGGTATAATTTGTGGAGGGAAAGGGAAAAAACAAATGGTTTAAATAGGGATACAGGTGGACCCATTGCAACAATGAGATGTACAAGTCATTATGTTGAAAACAAACTTTACAACTTTGGTGGGGGGGGGGAGGAAGGTTGGTGGGGGGTGGGGGATGGGATGGGAAGGGGAAACAAAGGAAGAGGCTACAATGCTTGATAAGAAATGTACTCATGGGGCTAGGAAGGTGGCTCAGTGGTAGAGCACTTGCCTTGCAGGTATGAGGCCCTGGGTTCGATTCCTCAGCACCACATAAGCAAAAAGAAAAAGCTGGAAGTGGCACTGTGGCTCAAGTGGTAGAGCAGCGCTAGCCTTGAGCTGAAGAGCTGAGGGACAGTGCCCAGGCCCAGAGTTCAGGCCCCACGACCGGACCCAAAAAAAAAAAAAAAAGAAATGTACTCATTATCTTGCCCATGTAATTGTAACCCCTCTGTACAGTATTTTCACAATAAAAAAAAAAAGAAAGAAAGAAACTCATGGACTTTCCTGCCTTCACTAACTTTGAATCACATCCTCAGATTTCAGCCTCCCGAGGAGTTTAGGATTATAGTGTGAGTCACCTTTGGTGGCCTGGCTTAAGTAGTTTTGTAAACTTCTGTAACTTGTAGTTATCCATTTATCCAGTGGAAAAGGTACTTATACTTTGTAGAATTTGAGAATGCTCTGGGTCACTTAGAGAAAATCCTCAGTACTCACAGAAGTCAGAGCTGTTACGGTTGTATTTCTACCATTAGAAATCATGTCAGCTTTCCATCACTGTGAGAAAAAACTTGAGATCCTGGCTCACAATTTTGGAGGTTTCAGTTCATAGTCAGTTGGCCTGGCTGCTCTGGCTCTGTTGTAAGGCAGCACCTTATGGTGAGAACAGGTGATGGAGGAAGATGTTTACCTCATGGCAGCCAGGAAACAAACAAGGAGAGGAAGGGGATGGGCTCTTGAAATTCCCCCCAGTGATTTAACATCCTCTGACTAGACTCCACCCACTATGGCATCATGTGTTTCCTGATAGCCACAAAGTCTGGTCACAAGAGCTTCTGGGGAACATTTCAGACCCAAATGATAGTACATATGAAAGAAAATTGACTTTCTTTCCATTAATGTGGGTATCCTTGCTTCTCTCAAATCAGAATAAAAGAAAGATGACTGCTCTAGTGATTGTCGTCATCATATTAACGGTCCTACAGTAAGTGCTACAATAAAAGAAAGACAATAGTGAGAATTTCCTTATACAGAACCAAACAGGAGAGTGAATAAAAAGATATGAATGTCATGAGTACAGGTTCTAGGTTCTATACCATCATTTTTTTTCCTTCTGTGTAGTTTTCCCCAAAGTACTAAGAAATCATCATTCAGTCAGTGTGATAGTCTCTGAAGTATTTTAGCCCAAAGGCTTGTATGGAGCAGTAGAAGTAGATGAGGTAGACAGGTCACTCCAAAGTTATAGCTTGCTGAACACCAAGCTGAGACACCTCACAGTGAGGAAGATGAAGCTTCGTGGAGAGCCTGAACCATCAGCTGTGTTACCTCGCCAGAGGAATCATTCCTTTAGCAGGTCAACATTAATCTCACCGCTGAGCTTCTTAAAAACAGAACCCTTGAAGAACTATACATTGAGTTTGTTTTACTAATGGTATTTTAAGTAAGTAGAAAGAAAAGGTTTAGCTGGGCGCTGGTGACTCATGCCTATAATCCTAGCTACTCAAGAAGCTGAGATCTGAGGATTGTGGTTTAAAGCCAACCCAGGCAGGAAAGTTCCTGAGATTCTTATCTCCAAAAAACCACCAGAAAACCGGAAGTGGTGCTGTGGCTTAAGTGGTAGAGTGCTCGGCTTGAGTTGAAGAACTCAGGGACTGTGCCCAGGCCCAGAGTTCAAGCCCTATGACTGACAAAGAAAAAAAAAAAAAAGAAAAGGTTCAGATATCTGAATGGAAACATGGTTGGGAGAGAAATGGTTGTACCTAAGAGACACCCAACTGGGCTTACCTGAGGTCTCTTTATTGCTCCACTGGATATGGTGTACTTTCCTTGATCTTCCTTAATTCCTTGGAGCATCCTGTTCTTACCCATCAGCTTGTCTTTAGTTTGTTCTTATGGACTTATTCTGTCTGTGCCTCATCTACTGGTCCTCCTCTCCCTCCTATCCTTCAACTTGATTGGCCTTTGGTAGCTAATTGGAGAGAGTCTCATGAACTTTCCTTCCTAAACTGGCTTCAAATCTCAGTCCTCAGATCTCAGCCTCCTTAGTAGCTAGGATTATAGGTGTGAGCTACTGGCACCTGGCTGACATATTTCTTTGAAAAACAGAAGTTACAAACTATAAGCTTTAAAAAGAAAGCCACATGAAAAAGGGATAAATTAGTTTTGTTAAAATTTCATCATGATGAAATTGAAATTAATTTTGTTAAAATTTCATCATGATGAAATTTAAAAAGTTGTAATCACCTGATGTAAATAGCATTGTGAAAGAAACTACTGAGAAACAGGACACATAGGTTTGACTTTTGCCCTTTGGAAAGCTTATGCCTTAAAACAGGAATCATGGCATAAAATTCAGCATAAAATAGATGTGCTGGGTATGATGCTTTTTGTTTCCAGATTTTCCTGTCTAGAAAGTTTTCAGCCATGCTGTTCTTGGCTAGTGAAGGATTTTGAGGTCAGTAGATACTCACCATCATCTTTGTCAGGGAGGATGGTAACCCGAGCTCCTGGGAACTCTGAGCCCATTTTCCCACCCATGGGCATGCTCAGCCGGACCTGGAAGCTCTCCTCCTCTTCGTACAAGGAGTCATCAATAACAATGATGCGACATGCTTTTTCCCGTTCCTCTCTGTCAAAGCGAATGACACTGGTGTGGTCCTCAGGCCTGGATATGTAATCAGAGTAGGACAACACGGAAGTAGGCACAGTTCCAGTTGCTGTTCCTGGAGGTGGAAAGAATTCAAGAGGTTTTCATGTGTCACTGTCGTATTCCCAGGGTATTTCTTGAAACCATTCATTTTTGCTGTGTTGTATTTCAGTGGTCGCCACTGCATCTGAACACCCAGAACTATACAAGCAATCACTTTCTGTTCCTGCTCCATGGTCATGAGATTCAACCTCACAATGACCTCAAGCTAAAAGCAAGGGTCCAATTTCCACCGGTTTCTTGTCTTTCTCATCAATGGCAATTTCCGCTGTTCTCCTGTCTCTCCCATCAGTGGACTGTTTGGATCAACACGGTATTGTGAAATAATAGCTCCTACTGTTCAAATACTTAGACTGCAGGCCAAGAGCCAAGGGCCTTACGTGCTTGACTCATTAATCCTCTCCACTGCTTTATTAGGTTTTACAGACTTGGTGCGCACACATTAAGCCACTTGCTCTGGGAACCCAAAAGTGAATCCTGAGGTCTGTTTTTAATTGTTGTTCTAGACTGGTGTTCAATTCACATACATATTAATGAAGATGTTAATGAAAGTTTCCTCATATATTAACAGCCTCTGTAACATTTTCTTTTCTATTCTTGGCAAATCTAGGAAGATATGTAGTGTATTAATGACAAGTATAGATAAATCTTAATTTTGGGTTGTATAAATTCAAGTGTCAGAGGATATTTACCCATTAGCAAAATAAATAATTGGAATTGTTTGTTATGTGTTTAGACAAGTTTTAAATTTTAAATGTGTGTGTGAAACATTACATTTGCTAACATAAATGTTTCATGGAATTTTTGAAACCTTTCAGGACTACATAGCTTAAAATCACTGACTGCTAACTTTGATCAAAATACAACAGCAGTTAGGATTATTTATCCTGCTATATTTCAACTCAACTTTAATCATTTTAAAATCATATGCACAAAGGAAACATTATTGATTATTGTTGCAAAATTTACACATATATGGTCATATAATGATGTACCAAAGTAATACACCTTTTCTTATATTATCTGAAAAGGTTATGTTTGGTAAAACTTTTGGAGAAAATTTAGATCTATTAGCACATTATATATATATATATATATACATATATATATATATATGTATATAATATGATGTATGTAATATGTATAACCCCAGTACTGGTAAATATATATGCCAGCATATATAAAAATACAGCATATTTTTATAAAAATATTTATATTTTATATTTAAAATATATATTTATAATATTTACAATACTATCTATAAATACTTATATGTACAATAAATAAATACACACACACACACACACATATATATATACACATACATATATATATATGTATATATACATATATACATATATATATATATATATATATGCCATACCAGTACTGGGTTAGAACTCATTGCTCAATTACTTGAGCCACATCTGGTCCTTTTTGTTTTAAATTATTTTCCAGATGGATTCCTGATTTCTCCCCTAGAACTGGCCTTAGACTATGATCCTACTATCTATGTCCTCTGTGTAGCTGGTATGACAGGTACCCTCATACCACATTCAACTTGTTGAAATGGGGACAGGGGTCTCATCAATGTTTTACCAAAGCTGGCCTCAAACTGCTAAATTGATGTCTTTTCGTATCTATGAAAAAAATCTGTTAATAATGCTAAACTACCATGGAGAAAAGTCATGGGTGCAAAAGGTTAAGGAGGTGTGTATACATCTGCAGTTCTTTCACGAATGGCTCTACCTTGCTCTGTGTAGCAGATCACCATCAGCTCCTGGCTGACATCCCCAGTCCTCTGGAGGGGAATAAGCAATTCACCCACATCTTCTTCAATGCTGTATTCAGACTGAGGGATGAATACAGTTGACTCTAAGGAGAAAGCACAACCACTGCCATTATAGTATCTGTCCAAACTTCTTATTCCTGAAAAGAAATCCTATGCAAGTGAGAAGTGAGATTCTCTAGTGGCTGAGGTTTCCCTCCCCTTTCCCCCCTCTTTCTTTCTTTCCTTCCTTCCTTCCTTCCTTCTTTCTTTCTTTCCTTCTTTCCTTTTTCTTCTTTTTGGATAACACAGTTCAAGGGGAAGGAAGGGAAAGAGGTAAACGGAAGCAGATGTGAAGGTGTCCATACTCTGTATCAATAAACTAAAAAAGAAAAAAACCCATCATGAAACCCAAGGTGGCTTTTTCCACCAGTTACTGCATTTCTCCCAATTAGTAAGTGCTGTGGATGCAGTTCTTTTAAATCCAGCTTGTTCTCTTGGCATACACTAGCACCTCCCCCTGGAATGGGACACACTGAGAGGTGCAAAGACCTGAGAAGTCCTCTTGACCCATTGCTTACTTTACACTGGGGACCTCAGGCTCTCAGAGTCAAGCTTAGTTGCCAAGAGGGCTCACTGTTGAGTCAGGATTAGAATTCAAGTCTTGTAGTAGTATCTGCTGTTATTTTTTTTCACCTAAAGAGTGTTCCTTCTTTTTTCTGTGAAGTCTCTGTCTCCTTTGCCAACTTATTAATTGGGCCACTGATTCTTTGGGAGGTTTAGTTTTTTGAGCTCTTTGTATATTCTTGATATTAAGTAGATATAAAGCTGAAAAAGATATTCTATTCTCTCCGTTTAACTTAGTAACTATGTCCTTCACTTTTCAGCTTAATACAATCCCATGTGTCCTTCTCTCTCCCTGGAATATACTGGAATTCTACTCATGAAGTTCCTATGTCAGTCAATAAGTTCTGGTGTTGCTCCTACTGCCACCTGTAGTAGTTTCAAAGTTTCAGGTCTTAAACTGAGATAATAGATACATTCGGAATTGATATGAGTACAAGGTGACAGGTAGTGGGGAAGTTAATTGGAGAGAGGAAGGGTAGGAGAAACAGTCATAATATAGGATATGTGAGGTTGGGAAAGATGGAGGAGAATGAGGGAAGGGGTGACATTGATGGAGAGTCATTGCACACATAAATGACATTGAATTGACACCCTTTATACAACCAGTCAAAGAAAACAAAATAATTTTAGAAAGAACAGTCCTTTTGGATGATTCATGATCAACGTAATAGGATTATATTGCTCAACACTTTGAAAAATAGCAATTTCTTCAGGATTCATGAATCTAGTTATTTTTACAATAAAAACATTTTTAAGAAGTCTACATTGCACATATGAGTGAAAACATGGCATTTGTCTTTCTGAGCTTGACTTATCTTGCTCAATGTGATAGTCTATCTTCCTGCAAACGATATAATCCTATTATTTTTATGGCTGAATAATATTCCCTTGTGCACATGTACCACATTTGTTTTATCCACTCATCAATTTATAAGAAGCACTTAATCCACTAGTTTGACATCTTAAACCCCAAACAAATTTGGTAGTCAGCTGTAAACCTGTTTGGTATGTATTGCATTCACATAGACACACTCACTACACCTTTTTTTTTTTTGTCAGTGTGGGGCTTGAACTCTGGGCCTTGGCACTGTCCCTCAGCTCTTCAGCTCAAGGCTAGCGCTCTACCACTTGAGCCACAGCGCCACTTCCTGTTTTCTGGTAAGGTTAATTGGAGATAACTGCCTCACGGACTTTCCTGCTGATCTGGCTCTAAACTGTGATCCTCAGATCTCAGCCTCCTGAGCAGCTAGGATTACAGGCATGAGCCACTGGTGCTGGGCCATCATTATTTTTTAAAATAGTATGACCACTTTTTTTTGTTTTGTTTTTTTGATGATAATAACAATTCAAGGAAAGCAGATACAATCTTTGAGGTTCATATTCCCACCCTGCTCTCTGTCCCAGGAGCTAACTAGTGGATGCTTCAGGAGATATTAACTTTGTTCTATGGTTTTGGAGTGGAGGAGGTCAGTCAAAGGGAAATACAGGTAGGGGCTTATTCCTCCTGTTCTCCTCACATTCCCAGACCTGACTTTCCCCTGCCCCAGTCTAAAGGCCAGGGTACCTGTTTGTGATCAGCTCTCTCTCTGGGCCCCTCAGACTGCAAGGTAGAGATGGCCCAGCCTCTCAGTAGCCCTGGGACACATCACTGCCTCTGGGGCTCCACAGTCTTGCCCTCATCTTAGTAATAATAGTGTTAGGAGATTGAACCGTTTTAAAATTACTCATCTTGAGTGTGTTATTTGTGTCTTCTTAGAGCTCTGGCACATTCACTTTTAAAATGTTCCGCATCTAAGCTTTTATAACTAATCACTGATTTATCAAATACTGATGGTGTGACTTGCTAGGCACTGTCCTTGGAAGAGTACATAGAGAAGTAAGCCAAGTCTCTGGCCTCAAGGAGTTTTCTATCTAGTAACATATGAAAAGATCAATGTTGTATTATGTAACATAATATGAAAAAATTGTATGTGTGAAGGGTGATGGGGAGGCTTGATCTAGGCAAATAGGCATGTCTAAATTTAGGCTTAGATATGTAGGATTAAGGTTTGAAGCCAGCCAAGGCAAAAAAGACTCTTCAATTAACCAGCAGAATGCTGGACTGGGGGCATGGCTCAACTGGAAAGTGCAAGTCATGAGCAAAGGAATAGAGTAAGAGGATGAGGCCCTGGGTTCAAGCCCTGGTAAGGACATTTAAAAAATGGAAATAGACAAATCTACCCAATGAGATGAGAGCAAGCAACTATGTCTTATGTACAACTTCTTGTGTGATGGAATTTGATGGAGTGTCAAAGGTAGGTAGAGAACCAGGAACAGGCTGGGCATCTCATGGTATTCCTGAGGAATGCTTATTTGGGTTGCTCAGGTTGGTCCAGATTTGGAAGTGAGACCAAAATTAGGGAAGGTGGTATCAGATCAAGTCCTGGTTATCTTGAGTTGATTGTTGTAGAATCATCATGTGGCTTGGTTGGTCCTAGGGACTGTAGGTTGTGGGTCAGAGCTGTATTTTTAATACATGATCCTGAATGATCTATTTGCCCATTCACTTTGTCCATATGGAATGAGAAAGCTTTGGGCATGGGATAATGGTAAAATAATCTGATCTATTTTGAGAACATAAGCTTTGGCTGTTGTGTGAGAGAAAATAAATCCTAGGAGCTGAGACAAAGAGCCCCATTAGAAGACTTTAAAACCATCTGGGAAAGAGATGATAGATAGTCCTGGAAGAAAGATAGTAGGGCTGTATGGAGGATTTATTACAAAAGAAGAACGAAACAGTTTTCTGATGGACCAGATGTGGTATACGAAAGGAACTAAAGAATGACGAAGGACTTTAAGGTTTGTTGTCTTGACTAATTGTCTTCCTCTTTTTGAAGATAGGGACAATGAGGGGATAATCAGTTTTGGGAGAAACAGTTATATTTTGAGTATATTAAAAAATAAGGCAAGCTAGGTGGCTCATACCTGTAATCCTAGCTACTCAGGAGGCTGAGATCTGAGGATCACCATTCAAAGCCAGTCCTGGAAGGAACATCCACCAGAATACTGGAAGTGGTGGTGCAGTGACTCAAAGTGATAGCCTTGAGGAAATGAGCTTAGGGACAATACCCAGACCCTGAATTCAAGTCCCAGGATCAACCTACCCCACCCCCGCCCCCAAAAAGAGCTATCTTCTAAATATCTGAGTTGAAGTGTCCAAGAAATTTCTGGGTTTACATTCCTGGATTTCAGTGAGATTTCGAGACTGGAAATATATAGTTGGGAGTCACCATTAAGCAGTGGTATGTATGTAAAGTCTTAGGTCAGAAGAATGGTATGAGGAGGAATATAGATAAAAAAAAAGAGAGAGAGAACAGGTCTAGGGATGCACTACGGGGCATGATGAAGTCAGGGAGATAAGAAGACTGAACAAAGGAGGATGAGGAGAAATCTTAAGGGTGGAAACAGTCGAAGCAGTGTAGATGTGGGAGGCCAAAAGCAAAGAGAAAGACAGAAATGAATAAGGCTGCTGACAGATCAGTGCATAGGGCAGGCACGGGCATTGCTGTCAAGAAGGTGTGCTTGGAAAGGAATCAAGGCGACTCTAGAGAATACTCTTTTTTTCCTGATTTATTGAGTTTTTAACATGAGTTTTAGTAAGGCATGAATTGCACTTACAATTATGAAGCGAGATTTAAGCAACTATAAAATTTCCACCCAGCTATCATTCTGACTTTTAGCACAAAAATATATAATGCAATGGAATATGTCGATCAAACACTCAGTGAGTTTCAGTGAGTATCTTGTGATGAATTCTTGGGATTCAATTAGGTGTGAGCTATGTCTTTTAAGCCAGTACTCCACTGCCTTAGTACAAAACCGTATGGAAAACCTGGTCTTTCTTAGGGTTTGTTATGGGCTCAATGCTTGTGTTTCTCCAGATCCGTACATTGAAGCTTTAGAACCAGATGTGATGGTGTGTGACATGGGCCATTGGGAAGTGATTAGGTTTAGGTGAGGTCATGGTAAAAGGGCTTCCCATGGTGGATTAATGTGCTTACAAGAAGGGCAGGGAAACCATCTCTCTCACAGCATACACTGAATGCTGAGTGACAAGGTAGACGCAAAGACTGAAAAACTTAAGATACCTATCCAAGAATTCAATCACTATGAGCCCCTTGATGTTAGATTCCCCTACCTCCTGAACTGTGAGAGACAAATACTTGTTGTTAAAGCGAACCAGTCTATTACATTTTTGTTGTAATAACTGGAATTGACTAAGAAAGAGTTAACCCTTTATAACATTTAGTCTATACTAGCCAATTTTGTATTGTTATTGAAGCTTGATGAATAGAATTTCAATTAAATAACTCTCTAAGAGTGAAACCTTGAATATCTGAGTTTTGCTTGTCCTTATACCCCATGACCCATACAGGAGTGATAAAGCAAGTCAGGACTTCTTGCCAGTGCCAGGAGTTTCGAATTGTGAATAAAGCCGAGA